TATACGAGTAAGAGCAGAATCACATAAATAATAAATTTAGACTAATTACCATATTTTTTATATGATTATAATTTTTTTAATTATCAACATAGGACAAAGAAAAACTTGCATGGTTTCCACCGCCAACAGGCGTTAAAACAAATGAATCCAAGTCGTTGTCAAATATTTATTGGGATAAGTTGATAAGCTTTTACCGTTTGAATATTGTTGTAAATAATAATTATTATCATTTAATTAGTGCTAACTTATCAAAATTCACAACACGGCGAAATTTCAACAAAATCGGCCAACGGATCTTTGATATATTAATAAAAAAATGTCTATTAGGACTTTACACCCTGTATCTTTAAAATTATGCATTTCCGGACACATGTTTATATTAATTTTTACCTTAAAAACACAAAGAATCACCTTCTGAAGTTGGCCAGATACTTAATTAACAGCCTGTATTTAAAAATAGCTAGCTAGCGATTTTGTAAGTAAAGCTATGTTTATTTTAATAGAAAAAAACACATTTCATAAAAAATAAACAAACCCATAATTCAATTATTATACACTAATTAATTAATTTTAAATGTATCTAAATAGGCACTTTAATAATTAAAAAATGGACATGAGCACTTCATAGAGTATACCAAATATGTAAAAAAATTCCAATAAAAAAACCACAAATGGCACATTAAAATCTGCATTATCTGAAATCAAACTATAGGTACCTAAACGGGCAATCAGCCAGACAACAGTCACAAGACGCCGACATCGATAACGCGATGAGCAGTTTTTAATAATTATTCCGAGTTAGTACTTCAAGTAGCATTCCTTCAAATAAATTTTAATTTAAGTATTGTTAATACATATAGTCATATTAATGATTATAGCCTGTATGATTTCTAAAATAAAAAATCCAGCGTGTTTTTATCAGAATAATTATTAAATGGTGTATATAATAGTTAATATTTATTAACTTCGTAAGTGTTATTTTTTAATATAATTATGGATTTAATAATTAAATAACTATCTTAAGTTTAAATTGTGGTAAACTTGTTATGAGTTTCAATCATTTATATTTATATTGCACGTTCACTCTTCGTTGTGTCACACACAATCTGAATTTCGTATATGATGCAGAACTGATAAATTAGACCAAATATATTAAAAGAAATATTTTTGTTAACTTTGCAAATACTTAAGGTATGCAATAATTTTAAAAAAATTTGACGTGAGATTAACTTCATAAATCTTGAAAGTCTTGGATGATAAATATTTGAATTATTATGGATCTGTTTTGTTTAAGAAGCTAACAAATAATTTCAAAAACTCATCTATCAAAATATAATGGTAGAAAATGTTTAAAAGCATGTATAGGTATAATATTCCATATTAATTGGACATACTGAATGTAAACTAGGAATACATAGTTGCTGCAGTCGATAATATATTTTGCTGCTTATTTTCCTCATAACAAAAAACCGTCAATACCGCTACTTACATTATGGGCACCTTTTTATACTTAAATCTCTTTAATGATGTTTAAAAATACATATGTAGGTACATACTATAAGTAGTAGTTGTCACGGTTTTTTTATTAGGTATGATAAAAAGAAGCCGCAAACTAAATTATCGTTGGAGCCAACTATATTTTAATTTATTTTTATCTACAGTAACTATGCACGGCAAGGGTTCAAAATATGCCTATACTGTGAGGCACCTCAATTCGAGTATAAATTAACACTTACATTCCAAGTATCTTCTTGGTCTACCGGCACCCCGTTCATCTTTATTCCATCATTTCTATAAAAAATAGTATGATTTATAACTTTTAATTTGAATTGAGAAAATTGGTGAAATTTTGTTGTACGCGAATTTAAATTTATGGGCCCTCCATAAATTTATACCGTAAGTTCGAATATTAGTTAAACCTAGGAATACCCAGGTAATAGCCGGAAATATGCAAAAAAAGGGGTGAGTTTAGGTTAGATTAGAATTAGGTTTTAGTTGGTTTTGAATTAATAAAAATATAGACCTAATCTAAACTTAACCGAAACTAACCTACTTTTTGGTATATTTCAGGCTCCTACGTGGGCAACTCTACGTTTAACCAAAATTCGGGCTTTTACGGTAACATAATACTCACTCTGATTGGTTTAATCTGGCTCCATAATAAAACTGTGGGTTCGAAGTGCTATTGCAAATTAATGCAATTAATTCTATGTATACACTTTCATAAAAAGCCATCACGATAAAAATTAAATATCAAAATTATTTAACGTTGCGAACGGTTCACTTGTTCACTATACGTATCTGGAATATTATTTGCGAATGGCGATCAGCGATACGATAGTGCGTCCAAACCTGGGGAGATGAGAGCGAGACATTTCAAATTCGCTGTGTGGACGAGTCTCGCGAGAGAGTCGCGAGTCAACCTACGGAGCCTCGTTGCTATCCGTCCCCTGTCGGTTTTCCAACGGCCGAGATCAAAGAAAGCTCGAAAGTCTGGACGTGTTTTTGGTAGGCCCGCCCGACTGCGAGATATTAGCTCTGATTTATAAATTTCGAGCATTTAAAATTAAGTAATCTTAAATTTTTAAATCGTACACCGTATGTATTATCATTTTTTCTGATAGAATTTACAAATTTTATGTCACTGATAAGTTTTACCCTACCGAAATCCAACATTTCTTTAAACAAATTGAATTATTACAACATCTATTAATTTTAGATATATAATATCAAAAAATGGCAAGAAAAGTTACCGAATTGTACGTATGTATAATAAATAAAAAATAGGGTATTCCCATTAGAAAATATGTTATATCCGCAACACTTTTTTGAATTACCCTGTATACTCTATAGTAATGTTAAAATGTGCTTCTTAACCTTACCAATAACTTTTTTTATTTAACATTTTGTTCTAAAAACGTTAAAAAACGTATTATGTAAAAAACGTCGTGTAAGGGATAAAGAAGAAAACAGCCAAAAGGGGGAAAACCGACGATGAATACCATGTTAAAGATACAAAAATTTATTACTGTATGCGTTATTATTTGGCCATCGTTTGTTATATTCAATTGCAATTTAATCTGTGTTTGGCTTTCTTTCACTATGATCCCACTCGGCTTGTCTCGTGGCAGGTTGGCGTAAAAATGGATAGAAAATGTCTCGCTCTCGTCTCGCGCTCGGCTCGTCAGGTCTGGATGCACCATAGACTGCCGGAGTGGTGACGTTACGAATGTCAAATTGCTTTCCAAACAAGGTTTAGTTCTTTATATTTCTATTGAGCTCTTCCAAATGACGTCACAAATTAATATAAAATGTAAAAAAACAGGTGATAACCGCCGACTTGTATCTGGTATTTTCAATACGCCTATGATAGTTGCGCATGTTGCAAAATCTGTGAATTTTTGTCTTACTTTGATGTCTTACACCATGAATACTTTGGAATATACATATATTTAAATTACTTTTTTCAAAATCACTCTGTATCTGTCACCCATTTCTATATTTATAGAATCACATAATATACAGGGTGTTTTAAAAAACATGTGCCATCTCTCGTGAGGAAATTCCTCACGTAAAAATATGATTTATTTTTCATATCAACATAGGTCCGATTCTGCTTTGTTTCCTAGCTACAGGGTGTTAAAATTTTAATATTTTTTCAATTTATTATACTTTTTTTCTAAGTACTTTTGGCGTTTCGAATTAAATTTTGAGGGTAAAAGTTACTATAAATGCGACATATTTTAAAGCTAAAAAAGTGTCGCCATATTCACCAGGGACGTGCATATGGGTTATCACTGGAATATTTTTCTAAAAAAAGCATGTACGCCACTGACTTTTTTTCATTTGTTAGCGAAATAGTGTAAGCAGTTTAATGCCGATTAAAAGTTGTCTCTTGATATTTTGTCAATTTCGGCCTCCTTGATGAGATAAACGCAATTTTATTAATTTGTCTTGATCCAAGTCTATAGGAACTTTTACCGCTACTTTACGACAAGTCGTATGTATATACTCTGCGCTGTGCTCGTCGTTTTGTGGAAATACCCAAGCTCACCTGATGATGGGGTAGGGCCCCGAAACCGGTAGTGAGTGCAGGTTGATCCATATTATGACGAACACAGCGTGGAATTAATTTCTATATTAGCAGTTCAAGGCAAGAAACTCTTATATAATTTTATTATATACCTAAAAACTGCAAGAAATTTATTTTCCAATATAATAATATATATCATATTTAATAATAAATTAGGTAAAATATATATTTAATAATAAATTAGGTAAAATAAGTTAGAAGTTATTAATTTCATTTTTATTTTAATTTTATTAATTGTGATTAATAAAATTGCGTTTATCTCATCAAGGAGGCCGAATTAACTATTAATTGGCATTAAACGGCCTACATAATTTTGGTATCAAAAGAAAAAAAGTCAGTGGCGCACATGTTTTTTTTACATTATTTCAGTGATAACCCATATGCACGTCCCTGATGAATTTATCGACACTTTTTTAGCGTTAAAATATGTAGCACTTGTAATTTTTATCCTCAAAGTTTCATTCGAATCACTGACAGTACTTGGAAGAAAATTATAATAAATCGAAAAATTATTAAGACTTTAACACCCTGTAGCTACGAAACAAAGCAGAATCGGACCTATGTTGATATAAAAAATAAATTTTATTTTTATGTGAGGAATCTCCCGAGAGACATGGCACATATTTTTTGAAACACCCTGTATAATTCAGGTAGTGCTCCAATAAGTTTGAAACTGACAAAAATGAACAAAAATAAAAGATTTTTTTTTATTTTCGATAAAATGCTTAAAGTACTCTTCGCTTCATCATTAAGATCTATGCTTCATCATTTATTAGTGTAGAGTACCACTAATAAATTATGAAGCATAGATCTTGAAATAAAAAAAAACTATTTTATTTATTTTAAAATTGTTTTGGTGTAACGTGATACAAATTTCAACCAGAAAATACGATTAAAAAGTACTTACTTTAGAAACATACACACTCCAGTACTCTCCATCGCTCTGCTGATTCCTTTCCAAGAAGCCATCATGCTGTACTTCTGCTTCGCCGTCAGGGGCAGCCTGGGATCCACCTGCTGCGGAGGTGGATTATCCTCGAACTTCCTCCCACTATTCCGTCCATTTCTGCCCGCCAATTTGCCTAGCTCACACCCCATGATGCTCTGCAACGATCATCTAACCCTACACACACAAAATACAATGCTTTAATGAGTCTGAGCAACTATCATGATCAAAATAGTACACTCACAGACAAAAATATGGCATATTTCATTTGAAGTGTTTATTTTTACTTTATTTCTTTTCCTTTACCACCTTTTGAGTTTTTTAATGAAGGACCTCTTGGAGTGAAAGGTTTTACGCTAAATAATTTAGCTTAATTGTGGACCAAATAATGTTTAGAGATAGACTTTTTACTTTAGAATAACTTGTGTTACAAATTACAAACATAGCACAAACGTATCATACATTTGTTTGTTGTCAAATTGCCATTTCAAGTGATTTGTTTTTTGATTTTGTATTTTCGGTGATTAAGATACCACATTTAAGCGTGTTGGTTTCGAATATCCATCAATCAACTGTTTCTCGTATAGTGAAACGATACAATGAGACTGGAGAATACAAAAGACGATCTGTATAACAACACAAAGTAACAGACAAGTCAAAGTAAGTATCAAAACAGTAATAAGAAGACTTAGGGGAGGAAACACTAAAAACTAAATAGTTATTATCTTATTTTAAAATATTGTTATATTGTCGTTACTGATATTATTATTACCAAAATCAGACTGTGCTATTCATTCATCTACGAGTCTATTATAAAGTTTCAGTTTGTGATTTATTTTGCTGTGATATACGTAAAACTCTAGAGTGCAATGGATATAGCAAAAAAAAAAGTTTTAAACAAAAATAAAAAATTGGCGCCGGGATGCACGTATAGTCGCCCATACTAAAATATGTTAATAAAAAGTTCGTAGGCAGTTCTTTTAGTTTCAAAGTAAAGGAATTTTTCCAATTTTTTTTATGTCAAAAACTGCGACTTTGACTGATTTTGATGTTATTACAAATTTTATTGAAAATATTATTCCTAATCTTAAATTAATAAACCGCGTTTCGCTAGCTACTGTAATTTTGGAGTTACGATTTTTTAAAATTTTTAACCCCCTCCCATACCCCCATACCAACCCCCCACCTCCACCAAAAACTAATGGCCAGATTCTCGGGTGCCACATATTTTTGTGCCAAATTTGGTTATAATCGGTTTAGCGGTTTTGGAGTTGTCGTGTTACAGACGGACAGACGGACAGACGGACAGACAGATAGACACCATGAAAATATTTTGTATTTAGGTCATTTATGACCCAAATAACTCATTTTGAGTGAAATTAAAAAAACTTTTTTTTTGCCGATCTTAATAGCCTACCATACCTATTGGTATGGTCGGCTAAAAATAATGACTTAAAATAAAATATGCAATATTTTTGTCTGTGAGTGTATATTACGTTCGAGTAGGGATGTGTTTTATTACTATCTAAGAGATTAACTAAATCTCGAGTCAATAATGAAAACTTTTTCTCCGAGGTATGTATACTACTTTTTATTTAAATCCACACAATTAATCGTAATATCGTAATGTAGGTACAATCTCAGGATACAATAGATTATTTTAAAATAACAAAATTCGTGGTAAAAATGTCAAACTTTATTCACAGAACATCCCCCTTTAGAACTTTTTCTTTAATGGTTATAAACGGGAGACTAACCGCCCGAACAAACACTAGAGGTGCCACTGGTCTTCAAATAGTGTAAAAATTGCGAAAACTTAATCATCTAATTTTGACACAAGAGGTCGCGCTTAACTTTTTTAATTTTAATTCATTTTTCATTGTTTTCAAACTATATTATTAGACTTTATTGTATTTTGTGAATCTATAAATGTTTTGTTAGTATAAAGTTGCATTATATTAATTTATAAATTATATTACATACATATTTAAAATTAAAATATTATAACATATATAACAGTTGCCGTCTAAAATGTCATCTTGGTAACAAAAAGTTAGTTATTGTCAGTTAAAATCATGTTAAAATATTAAAATTCACAAGTTATAATTATATATTTTATATTATTTCAAGAAGAAAAACATAATGGTACATAATGGTGTAATGTTGATATGCAGGTCCAAAACAAAAAGTAGTATATTTTTCAGTTTTCGTTGTCAGCCGCGGAGTTTCAGTGATTTTAGTGTTGTTGGATATTTTTATTTGTGAAATAGAAATATTGCGTTTGGATTGCAAAACAAAAAGTGGAAGTTTTGCAATGTAAGTAAGCGTTTGTCCATTTTATATTTTACTTTTTTCATACCTACGACAAATATACATATATTGAAATTTTATAATTCGTTTTATTTAAAAAATGTTAGAAAACAAGCCTGTAATCTTGTAATTGACATAATTGTTCTGTAATATATTCCATTTAAATGTAATATATTACTCTACAATTAAAAATATATAAATTTAAAAATATATTAAAAATATATACAGGCATTATTTGAAATTTTTAGTATGCGAACAAACACGAGAGGCGCTTTATTATTTACTTTCATTTCTTAACATGACAGATGATGTTCTAAAGGGGGATATTTTGTGACTTTATTATTCCTTGTTTTGGCGTGCTATCTTTCAAAACCGGTAAAACATAATTAACTCTCTAACATTGGTACCTCAATAAACAAACAATACACAAAGCTGAAGAAAGAGTATAAACATTATGAGAAGACGTGTGAGGGACTACTTGAAGCTTCAGCTAGATGAAGCCAATATTTTGTCACTTATGATTTAAAAGATGTATATACTCAAACGTACCTATCAAAAAATGGCTATCTATTGTTTTTAAAACAAAGCTAGAAGATGAACTATGAAGGACACCTAAAGTCAGTGCCACTCTGCCATTGAACGCAATAATGGACTAACTTGTTGTAAATGTAAATTTTGGTGTCAATTTTTGTCTCAGAAAAGACTCAGCCAAATCAACAGCGATTTTTTCAATCAGAAAATATATTTACCAATAGGATTATCGCTGTTATCTGTAGTTGCCAATATTTACTGGATTAACGGGATTTAGTAATATCATAGACATAGGATTAGAAAATTTTTATGGTACGGTATGAGACAGTAAATGAACAAAATGAAAGAGGGGAGTAAGAGTTTGTGTTATTTTATGGAAAATATAAAAAAAAACAATTCTCGAAAATCCAGAAAAGACAAGAAAGCAGAAACAATCGTTTAAATCAATCAACAACAAGCACGAACTCTAGATTCTAAAAAAGTGCGAGTGAGACCCGCCCATCGAGGGTTCCGTATGAAAACTATATTTTTTCTGATTTAATTACAAATTTTCAGATTTTCCCTATACCGGGTGCATCTCAAAAGTGGCTCACCCCTATAACTTCTTTATTTTTTCAGATAAAAAAAACGAGATTTGGTATGTTAAAAAATGGCATAGATTAAGATTGATTGACGAATTCAATTGTTTTCGATCACTTCCGGTTTTACCGGAAATGACTACAACTTTTGATTTTTAAATGGCACCTTTGGTATTTTTTTACTTTATTCGAAGGAAAATAACCCTCTGAATAGAATGACATATCATATGTCAACTTTTGACATTTTTGCATATGGTGTATTTAAAATCATAACTTCCGCTTCGTAACGAAAATTTGACTCGAAATACCAAGTGTGTGGTATCAAATTATTTGTAAAAAATGCATCTTCCAAATGTGTCAATGAGCCACTCTCGTTCCATTTGAAAAAATTGAGATATGATTAAAAATACGATTTGAGCATTATCTAACTGGCCAGAACAAGACACTAAATACATTAGACGATCAAATATATTTTTCCAAGGCTCCTTGAATAAGAATTAGTGTTTTTAACATAGCCATGGATGGCACTCTAGATTGAATTGTAAAATACGATTTTTTATTAAGCAAGAATGTCAAAAGTTGACATATGATACGTCATTCTATTCAGAATGTCATTTTCTATCGAATAAAGTAAAAAATACAAAGGGTGCCATTTAAAAATCAAAAGTTGTAGTCATTTCCGGTGAAACAGGAAGTGACCAAAAACAATTGAATACGTCAATCGGTCCTAATTAATGTTATATACTAACATACCAAATCTCGTTTTTTTATCTGAAGAAATAAAAAAGTTATAGGGGTGAGCTACTTTTGAAACGCACCCGGAATGAAGCTTCAAAAGCTTCATTCAGAACCTCGCAATTAGTGGAATTAATTAGTGGTTTCAATTACACTTTATATTTTTTAGTTTACGATCATTCACAATGTTTAAAAAACAAAATTAAAATTAATAGAATATCCTAGTAACAGCTTGTGCTAGTCAGTTGTATCCATAGAGAAAGCCTAATATTTAGCTTATAAAACAATCAACTTTTGATTTCTAACCACAATTTCTCTTTACGGAAGATAATCAAAGGTCAGAATGACATTTCTCGCAAATTTTGAAGTTGACAACTTTTGTTGTTGTCGACAGTTTGACAACTTTTTTTACTAATAAACAATGTTTACCACTAATTTTGACGTTCTGAGTGCTTACATTGAAATTAAAGAAAGAAACTTCTACGCTATTTGAAACCACTAATGTATTCCACTAATTGTGAGGTTCTGAATGAAGCTAAAGTTTGTTAACGTTTTCTACTAATTGAAATTGACTACCACTAATTTTGACGTTCTGAATGCTAACATTGAAATTAAAGAAACAAACTTCTACGTTAATTGAAGCCACTAATTTATTCCACTAATTCCGAGTTTCTGAATGAAGCTTCAGTCTATAAGCAAATCTATGTTATTGATAGCATGGTATTCTTGACTAACTTCCAAAATAAATCTAACAGTATAATTCTAGATTTTTGGTGTATATACTCACTACAATATCATTCACTGGAAGGTTCGAGCCTGTTTATAGCACTATCACTACCTTTCTAAGTTTCTTCACGTTTATAACATGTTTTTGATCACTATTCCTTAAAACACGTACACACTAAGATTTCTACCGAATTTTTCTTTTCTTGTTTAACAACTTTTTAAGTATCAGTTCGTCATTATTTCACGAATTCTATGCAAATTATGGCCGTTAAAATTGCTGTTGATTCTTCGGCCGATGTAAATATTGGTTTATCCTTGTCACATCCATTTAATCAATTAATGAAGGGCAGGGACTGGGTATTCACCGGTGCTATTTTCTTCCAGGCGTTGTTGAAACGTCCTAGAACAAACATTAGCTTATTAACAACCATGATAATTTGAAAATGAATTAGGCTAATAAGTATTCTATACAATGATGTATCGATTATGCTTTGAAGAGTTTTTTTTTCTGTACAATTATGCTTTTCTGCTTCGTTCTATACAGGGTGTTTCGAAAAACATGTGCCAAACATATGCCAAAGTGGGGAGATTCCTCATGTAAAAATACGATTTATTTTTTATATCAACATAGGTCCGATTCTGCTTTGTCTCGTAGCTACAGGGGGTTAAAGTCTTCATTTTTTTCGATTTATTATAATTTTCTTCCAAGTGCTTTGAGTGATTTGAATGAAATGTTGAGGGTAAAAGTGCGATATATTTTAATGGTAAAAAAGTGTCAACCATTCACCAGGGATGTGTATATGGGTTATCACTGGAATATTTAAAAAAAAAACATGTGCCCACTGATTTTTTTTCTCTTCTTAGCAAATTGGTGTAGGCAGATTAATGCAAAATTTATCTTGATATGTTGTCAATTTGGATCTCCTTGATGAGATAAAAGCAGTTTTATTAATTTGCTGCAATAGCAACCTTTAAAAAAATTTAATACCATTAACTGGCCTACAGTGTTAAGTAAATACTCATTGATTCCACATCAAAAAATATAAAAAAAAGTTTTTATAAATATGGGTGTAGAAATACATAGCTTAAAACTTACCGGATGTTAAAACTTTAAAAAATAGGTCTTTTGTAATTCTACTAACAACTAATCTAAAACATCACTATTTTTTTCCTGAATTTGCTGTAGAATAGCACTGAATATCAGTGATATAAAATTTAACAATAAAATTGATCAAGAATTTATTAATTTTAATTTTGTTAATTGTAATTTTAATAAAATTCCGTTTATCTCATCAAGAAGATCCAAATCGACAAAATAACAAGATACAACTTTTAATCGGCATTATACGACCCATACAATTTTTGGTAAAACAACTATGAACCAAAAAGAAAAATCATGAAAGAGGAGCACATTTTTTTTAGAAAAATATTCCAGTGAAAACCTATATGCACGTCCCTGGTGAGTCTGACGACACTGTTTTAGTAGTAACACTTACAGTAACTTTTACCCTCAAAATTTCATTCGAATTGCTAAAAGCACTTGAAAGAAAATTATAATAAATTAAAAAAACATGACTTTAACACCCTGTAAATACGAAACAAAGCAGAATGGGACCAGAAAAGGACCAAAGCAGAATGGGTATGTTGATATAATTTTTTTTAATTAGACGTGAGAAGTCTCTCCACGAGACATAGCTCATGTTTTTTAAAACACCCTGTATGAAGTGTTTAAAGTACGTTAATAATAAAATGAAGAAGAAAATAGAGAGAAGCTTTAAATTTGAATGGCAGTTTTATATTCTTATGTGTTAAATATATGAATATAATTCGGAATTTTTCAACTTTTAATGCGGCATTTGGATCAGCATCAAATAAGGCAAATTGGCCTCAATTTAACCTAACTCACACCCTGTACAAAGTTTCATAGGAATCAATTTTAGGATCGGCTTATAAATGTTAATTTTTTACAAAACATTATTATCAAAATAATTTTAGAAACTTTACTACAAATAACAGTATTGATTGAATAATTTAAACAGTAGGTATATCGCTGTTCAACAAAATTTACATAATATATACATTGATTCAATCTACGTTAAATAACAAAACCATATATAAAGTAAAATCGGAATATTCTATGCACTTACTGGCACCTATAAACTTTATCGCGTTTGTCCACCGGGACCGAATTTTTGTTACTCTTATTTTGATATACACATAAATATTTTTCCATTTTTAGAAAAAGGCTCCCAAGTGAAAACCCTCGTCTCGTGTGAATGATACATATTTCTAAAAAGAAATCTCGGTGGAGTTTTCTATCGAATTTCGAGAAGTTGCGTTTAAAAAATAAGGATTTTTAGTGAATTTACCTGATCTATTTCGGCCAGTTTGGCTAACATACTATCTTCAAGAATTTCATTTAATTTTAAATCTGTAATAGATAATTATCAAACATTATCGATAATTTAAATTAAACTAAATCAGAGGTTTACGCTATAAAGGAAGCAGCCAGTTGTATACGAGAGAAAATCGCTGATAGACCAATAAGAGATATCGTGATATACAATCAGTGAGATCGAAAACTCTCATAGACTGTCGAAAAGCACTGTCCTGGCTGCGCCAAGGCGGGGGGCCACTTTGTGCTAGGTGCCAGGCCACAGCAATGTGCTAGGCAACCAAGAAGCGGACAGACTCGCCAAAGAGGGAGCCAGTGGCAGATGACCCACCACTTCTGACGATCAACACACTGAAAAAAGCTATAGAAACTACCATCATGGCCAAGCAGCAAGAAACGTGGCAACACCGTGAGGACTGCGCTACAGCTCGAAGACTGTGGCCAGTGGTAGATAGCAAAAAGACAAAACAACTACTACAGCACAACAAGAACCTAGTACGCATAATTGTAAGTGTCATCACTGGAAACTGCCCCACGGGGGTAAACCTCGTGAGATGGAAGATTTCCAGCAACACCTACTGCAGAGAATGCGGAGAGGAAGAAGAAACCATAGAGCACCTGCTGTGCCACTGTCCGGCACAGGAATACCGTCGCTTTAGAACTTTAGGTCAAGATTTTGTGGAGGGACTAGAAGAAGCAGCAGAAGCCAACATCAGCGACATCGGGAACTTCGCAAATAGCTGGAAGTGCTTTAACGCAAAAATAGAATGAGAGGAAGGTTTGGTCCAATAATACAATGGGCCCAAAGCCTCAAAGTAAGGCATCAAAGAGGATCCCAAACCCCAGCAACCCAACCTAAATTAAAGTAATGGATTTTTAACAGATAACATTATTCACATTTTATTTTGGTTTTGATTTAAGGTTTTTAAAAGTCAGAAAAACTATTTTAATTTTGTATTCCATCCGATCTCCTTTATTTTGTGACTGATTCTTTTATAGTTAAGTAGGTTGGTAGGTTCTTCATAATCCTCTTGATTGGATATATGTACCCAACCTAAATTAAAGTAATGGATTTTTAACAGATAATATTATTCACTTTTTATTTTGGTTTTGATTTAAGGTTTTTAAAAGTCAGAAAAACTATTTTAATTTTATACTTCCATCCGATCTCCTTTATTTTGTGACTGATTCTTTTATAGTTAAGTAGGTTGGTTAGGTTGGTAGGTTAGTAGGTTCTTCCAGGGCCATGTAAGTGAAATATTAAAAATGGTTCCAGCAAAAGTTTCCCAATTATGACGGATGATGGCGCTGATCGTCAAAATTTTTGGACAGGGATTTTGCTTACCGACAATACGACGTGAGCTACGACCGGACCAGGACCAATCAGAATGATCAGTCTTTCTTGGACATTTGCCGCCGGAGTGTGTGTTAATTTCTGTTGTGATAAGTGTGGTTGTGTTTGCAGTTTGATTTTTCGGTTTTGATATTATGTTAAAATTAATTTTGAAGTATTGTATCACCTGTTTTTATGTAATAGTACTTTTTTTAGTTCTATGATCTGATATGTTATGATTTGTTAATGTTTGTTTAACAATGTTATACCAAAGAGGTTATACTTAATATACTTATCAATTTGCATAGCCTAACTTTTTTTATCAATAAACTTTGTAGATTTTCAGATTATTTCATTCCTTTTGTTTCCGTTTGTAATTTTATTTTTAAGACATATTATGTGATTGTTTCACATAATATGTTTTAAAAATAAAATTGCAAATAGCGAATAAAAATTATTAAAATAAAAAAGTGTATTTTACAATTCCCCCGGCCCCGCACCCCTTTGGCTAACCTATAATGTCAGCTATGTCGAGAGATGGCGTTACGAAAATGGAACCGATTTATTACAAGGAACTTGGGCTTCTTTTCGTTAGTATATTCTGTGGGTTCTTCATAATCCTCTTGATTGGATAAGGGTACCATAATTGACAATTTTCTAACAGACGATTAAGTCTGATGTAGAATTTAGCTTTAACGCAAATATAGGAGGGCTGCGACCTTACAGATCTATTGTGTCCCCCTTTCTCGAGTTATTTTACTCACCATAGAGTCTTAGGGCTTTGACGAAAGCCAGTATCTGAGACGGTTTTACAGAGGTTAATTCTCCATCTCCGATATCAGTCGGGCTAAATTTTATGGCACGAATTGTTGTTGTCTCGGCGCACTCATTGATGAGGTGTTCTGGTGTTTCCCCATTTTCCACACAGAATCTGCATTCGTCGTTGTTTCTTAGTTTCAATCTAGTGAGCTGTTGGTTTAGGTTAGGTCCTGCTAACCCCCCCCCCCCTGACAAGACAAAGATTGTTCTTACTTAAACAGGTTAAGTAACGTAAGTAATGAGAAATTTCTTCGGGTCTCTTAGACCGTTGCACTATGGTCTAAATATATATTTTAGACTCACTGTATAAGGACTTTTTTTTGTAAGTGGAATGCAAGCAGATATACAAATGAAGAAGACCACATGCATATATTTTTGTTTAGTTTTCATTTTTATTTCTTATCAGCATTTATATTTAGACGTTCTAGTGAAGTATTGGTGCCTATTCAGTTGTTGTTATTTTCGGAAGAGTTTTGGTGAATATTAAGTGACATATTTCAGTGGGATATAAAAACGGATTACTGTTATTTTTACACTTGATGGTATGTATTTTTAAGAAATCACTAACAATTGCCCATAAGAATCAGCGTCCATTATTTTTTAATTAATTAAAAATAATGAGTTTAAGACAGAATATAAATAAAAAGTTAAAAGTTTAGTTTGACTTATAAAAAATTCTCCATGTTTCTCCACGCTAGATGTTATTGTAAAATTTGAAACAATCCTTTTTGAACATATCAAAGAAAAAATTGGCTGCTACTAGCTGCAACTTTTTTTTAAAAGAATTTTTTTCAGCTATGTATCGATTGAAAAAAATAGATCTTTTGGAAAAATGGCTACAAGGGGCCGATAA